CCAACATTGATGAACTCTTGGATGAGCTATATGGAGCCAAGTTCTTCTCAAAAATTGACCTGAGGTCAGGGTATCGTCAGATCAGGGTTAAGATGGCAGATACACATAAGACAGCCTTTCAGACTCATCAGGGACATTATGAGTTCTTAGAAATGTCATTTGGGCTCACCAATGCATCAGCAATGTTTCAAGCACTAATGAATCAAGTTTTTGAGCCATTCTTGAGGAAGTTTGTCTTGGTCTTCTTTGATGACATCTTGGTTTACAGTGTTACCCTGGATCTTCACAAGGAGCACCTGGAACAAGTACTAAAGGTGCTCCAACAGAACCAGCTGTATGCCAAACTCTCAAAGTGTTCTTTTGCTCAGCAAGAAGTGGAGTATTTGGGGCATGTAGTGTCCAGGACAGGGGTGAGTATGGATATGAGCAAGGTGGAATGCATACTCTCATGGCCTCCTCCTAAGAATATCAAAGAGCTCAGGGGTTTCCTAGGCCTCACAGGCTACTACAGACGTTTCATACAAGGTTATGGGACAATCTGTAAGCCATTAACAAATTTGCTGAAGAAGGATGCTTATGACTGGAATACAGAATCCTACGAGGCCTTCAATTGCCTTAAGCAGGCTGTCAGTAGTGCTCCAGTACTAAGGTTGCCCAACTTTGGTATTCCCTTTATGGTAGAAACTGATGCTAGTGGACTAGGCATGGGAGCTGTTCTCTTACAAGAAGGTCATCCCATAGCATTCATCAGCAAGGCATTCTCCCTCAAGAACATGGGGTTGTCTGTCTATGAGAAAGAACTGATGGCATTGGTTTTTGCAGTAACTAAGTGGAAGCATTACCTAGTAGGGAATCATTTCATCATACGGACAGATCACAAGTCACTGAAATTTTTGTTAGAACAAAGACTGACTACTACTGCCCAGTACAAATGGTTGACAAAGCTGTTAGGCTTGGATTATGAGATTCAGTATAAGAAGGGTTCAGATAACACTGTTGCTGATGTCTTGTCTAGAAGAGCCAGAATGGAACTGCAACCTGAACCACAACAGCTGATGGCTATCACTGGTGCTCAACCTCTATGGATGCAGGAATTACAGGACAGTTACTTTGAAGACACATAGTGCAGAGAATTGATGAGTCAACTGTTGTTAGACCCTACACCACAGGATTCTGATTTTCAGCTCAATCAGGGGTTACTCAGATATAAGGGGAAGCTGTTTGTAGGAAATAACAGGGGAATTAAGCAGAAAATAATCAAGGCTTTGCATGAATCCCCTATTGGAGGGCATTCTGGCCAGAGAGCATGTATCCGAAGGGTGCAAAGCATATTTCACTGGCCAGGGATGAAGAGGGAGATCATACAGTTCATACAGGAATTTGAGGTCTGTTAGAGGAACAAAAGTGAACGGATACCTTATCCAGGCCTACTGCAGCCACTACCAATTCCTACCCAAGCTTGGTCACATATCACCATGGACTTCATTGAAAAGCTGCCCAGCTCCAAGGGATTTGACACTATTCTGGTAGCCATTGATAGATTGACAAAGTTTGGCCACTTCATGCCACTTTCTCACCCATTCTCAGCTGCTCAGGTGGCACAAGTCTTCCTCGATCATGTTTACAAACTCCATGGCTTACCAGAATCCATCATAACAGACAGGGACAAGGTATTCACCAGTAAATTTTGGCAGGAGTTATTTAAGATGGCTGGTACTGAGCTGCACTACAGTTCTTCCTACCATCCTGAAACTGATGGCCAAAGTGAGAGGTTGAATTAATGTTTAGAGACTTATTTGAGATGTATGACCAGTGAAAGTCCAACTCAGTGGAGTCAGTGGCTTAGCTCAGCAGAACTTTGGTACAATACTGCATATCACACCAGTCTAGGGGTATCACCCTTTGAGGCTTAATATGGTTACAAACCTCTATCACTGCCTATGGGTCCCTACCATGACACAGTAATCCCAGCAGCTCACAACATGTTGCAGACAATAACTCAAATGCTGCAGAGAATCAAAGAACATCTGTATCAGGCTCAGAATAGGATGAAGTTGTTTGCTGACAGACATAGGACGGAAAGGCAATTTGAGGTAGGAGATTGGGTCTTCCTGAAGTTGCAACCTTACAGGCAGCAGACTATAGCACTCAGGAAAAATCTTAAGCTCACTGCAAAATTCTTTGGCCCCTTTCAAATTGTGGAGAAGATCAGTGCTGTGGCATACAGGCTCAGGCTTCCACCTGGATCTAGAGTACATCCAGTTTTTCACGTTTCCCTCCTTAAGCCTAAGTTGGAACCACATCAGGCTACTACTTCTACACTCCCTGAATTTAATCACCAAGATCAGTGTCTCCTACAACCTGCGAAAGTTTTAGAGAGGAGGGTCATTATGCGCAATGCTGCTCCTGTGATCCAGTACCTTATCAAGTGGCATCAGCTGGGGGATGAAGAGGCATCGTGGGAAGATCAAACTTTTATCAGTAGTCAATTTCCTGAGTTCCAGCCTTGAGGACAAGGCTGCTTTCAAGGAAGGGGTAATGTCAGGAGCAAGGGCGTAATTGCAATTTGGACCAAAGTTTCAGGGGCTTTAGGGTAATTAGTTTCCTTGGAGCCAAAAGCTGTTAAAAGTTAGTTATAACCGAATTTGTTAGGGTCAGGCATTCTGTGCCAATTAGACTCAGAACCGTCAGTGAAATTGTATAAATTCCAGGCAATGCAATGGATTGAAGGACAAGAAATACAATCAGAATAATCACTCCTAAATTTCTATTTCTCTCTTTTCTCTTCTCTCACTTTTCCCTCCTTTTTTCTGTTCTTCCCTCATTCAAACTTTCCCCAAATCTTCTGATCACATTTCTTCCCTTCATCCTGTTTGGAAGGGCCTGACAGTTGATTACCAAGCTGCTTGGTTCGATTTACAACTCTAATTGCGTTGCCACTATTAGAGGTCAAAAAAACTAGTATAGCTCACGGTTCACAAATTTGGTGCCTGATCAATTCTTCAAGCCAATTTGCCAAATTTAGCATACAAATGCAACATCACGGGTCCCATAAGTTGGAAATTCGTCCAGTTCAAACGAGTTTGTATAGTTATTAGTATATTTGGTATATATGCATACAATTTTGGCATAATTTTGAATTTTTTTACGCAAATATAGTTATATAAGTTAATAAATTCAAATTTATACCCGATTTGTAAGATTTTACAGCAGAAGATGTAAGAGTTACATTAACTGGTTTGAATTGGACAATTTTCAAATTGCATCCACAAATGCGTGAACAAATCATCAACAGCAGATATTGGAACAAAATTATCCTTTTTATCAAAAAAGAAAAAAAAAGTTACCAATTCACCTTAATAAACTTTGGCTATACAATGGTCACTAATTCATCTTCATCATGAGTAATTCATAGTACGATAAAAATGGGAGAAATTGGGAGCTTAATATGCTAATCGCTGTTTACACCTCCAGACTTGGCAAGTCATCTATGCGACATGGTTACTCTAATTAGAGGACCTAATAACTGAAAGGCATCCAAAATAGTTTGTTTTTTGGGGATTGTTTCTGTGGGATTATAATAAGCTGATTCTGTATTTTTAAGCTATAAGCTCTTTTGAAGCATACGTATTTGCTTACATTACTTAAACTACAAAAGTTGTTTCTGCAGGCAAAACTTCAAGATGCACCCTGAGATCGATTTTCGCCCTTTAGTCTCTTTGAAAAACTCTTTTAGGACTTCAGAATATACGATTTTTTCAAGTAAATGTAGTAGGGTACACTTATTTTTGGAAGTTTCAAAGCAGCTGATGCAAATTTGTATTCGTGTCAACGTTGCCTGACTTCTTGAATGCCTTGCTTTGTATGCCATAAAAAGGAAGGAGTGAACAGACAAGTAAAAGGATTTGAAAGTGAATTAAATGTCTGATTCTGATCTGATTGCCAAATTCCAGCCACTTTCAGCTCAATGTACAATAAAAGACCCAGTGATGCCAAATTCTGATATGGATTCACCAAATTGTGTGAAAATTCGTGTATATGTGAAGCAATCAACTTCAATGATGTATCAAATCCTCCCTACAGAATATACCAAATATAAAGGGGGCAGAATTTCATCTCTGTTTTGTTTCTTCGCATCATTACTTGCTCCATTTATAGGATTTTAAGAAGGCAGCTTAGGAGAAATTCGCCATCATTGAATTCACCATTTTTTAGGTTGTAGTTGATTATTTCTGGAAGATAGCCCTCAAGAAGGAAGAGACAGAGGGAAGGGTGGAACGAAGACAATTACAGCAACCAAGAGAGCTTTCCCGATAGTGTTCAGACAGTCTGTGTTTACCGAACTTAGAAAGTTGGGATATGGAAAACTGGACTCTGGACACAAAATGCTACATAAACACATAGTACTGTATTTGCTTTCAAGTAATGTTATGAGTTGGTAGTTATGTCTTGATATTCATAAAATCTGTTGGCATTTTGCTAGAATGAGGATAATTCTGATCTCAAACTGAATCTGGTGCGGGTGAATTATTATCATTGTGTCTCTTCTTGAATGATCTTGACGTTTCGTTTGAGCTTGACAAAATTTACAGATCTAGTCCTACTGATTCTTGAACTTTTACAAATTTAACAAAAATTTTCTTGATTGTTTTTCTTCTACATTTTTAATAGAAGTACAGGGTTTTCAAAGCTTAATGAGCAGTGCTTGCTAGATATATTTCCAAAGCTAAATGAGCAGTACGTGTAATCGGAAATGCCTAGCGTCTCTCCCTCCTAAAACACTGATCATCATGACAGTGGCATGCCATCTAAAACAGGCGAACACGACAATGGCATGGCAATGACTAAAGAAAGTTGCACGTAAATGAACCACCTAATTTACGGAACCAGCCACTATATATGCAATCTTTTATCAGGACAAAAATACTTGACTTGGAACCACAGACTTGATATACTAAATAGAATTCATCTGCAATACATAGGATTCTCCATTTTTAGAAATGGCAAGGTTGATTGCACTAGCTTTCTTTGCAATATCGGTAGCCATTGTTTCAACTTCAAGGCCAGAAGTTGCAGCTGCTGCCCCATCTTGCTCAGTTGTCGATACTATGCTGGAGCCTTGCGAGCCATATGTAATAGACCAAGGCAGTCAACCGAGCAATGCTTGCTGCAATGGTGTAAAAAGGTATCTGATTCGGCAGCGTCCAAAGCAGACCTTGAAGCCGTCTGCAACTGCATCAAAAATGCATTGCCTTCGATAGAAAATACTTCGCCTACTCGCATTTCTGGACTTCCCAAAGCTTGTGGAGTGAACAGTAACTTTGCCCCTGTTGATCCTAACTATGATTGCTCCAAGTAAGTCACCATCTCAAACCCTCTTAGTGTGTGATCCATGAGTGTGTATTTGTGCGTGTGACATTGTCCTTGGTAAATGACAAGTACTTGTTTCTGCATATGGATGCAGGATTTCTGATTGATTTCATGGTTGATGATCAAAGCTGCTTTGCTCAAAGGCCACTTCTGTGATGGTTTATTCATTACTAGTTAGCTGAATAAAGTTACTTTTCACTCAAGATGAATTAGTTTTGAGTGTTACATATATATGGGCAACTAATTACTGAATGTATCTATTGCCTGGTCTATCTTAACTATTGTGGGAATATTTGGAACAACAAAAATTACTGGTCATGTACTCTTATTACATTATACTGCCAAAGACAGATGGATTTCAGTATAAGGTAAAATAATTATTTTATTCATGCCTAATTTTGGGAAAATAGTAAATGAAATTTGGGACTGAAAATTTGGAATGGACTCATTAAATAACTTAGGAATCTGTTAGTAAGAAATGACAGAATTTCTCTTGATTTTTTTAATAATAGAATCTTTACTATATAATAGTGTATATATATATATAAGATACTAGACATCTGTGTAATAGTTTCTGCTTGTCGGTTTATGGATATAACTTTATTAAAATTGAGATGGGGAGGGTTTTCTTAGTTATATAATTAGATATAACAGTTTCTTTCTTGGACATCCATTTTTCTGGACATCTACTTATTAAACCATGCTTTGACAAAGCATCGACTGGCCAATTGCATTCTATGTGCTTAAAATTCTCTTGGCTTCATTCTTTCCGGGCAATCCACGATCAAGTTTGCTTTTTTATGGCTTGCATGTGGAGGCCTGCGCATGTATGTCACAACAACTAGAGAATAAGAATGAATAATTTGCGAAAGAATATTGAATTGAATGGCCATAGCAAGTCCAAGACGAAATGCACATAGTTTTGCTATTATATGTTAGTTTGGTTCCCTATGTTCATCCGAAATCCAGCAATAAAGCATCCATCATCATCTCTGAATACTCCACCAATGCAGCATTCCCTCTCTGAGTACATGCCCCGTCTATGTTAAGAAGAAACCAATTGGTTTGGTGGGATGGTGAGGGGAGGTACTCCGACTCAATTTGGCTAGCCTTAGATTATTTTGTGGATTGAAAGGCCATTATTATTCCGAGCTGACCAACTCAGTGTATAATATACAGAGGAAGATAGCTTATATGAGTATCACTGCCAGTTAAGTAAGGCCTTTGAGGGAATATAAAATTGTTATGAGCTTTGCAAGTCATCATGCTATGTAGAGATCAAGATGGCTTATGTGAGTATCGCTGCCAGTTAAGTAGAATACTGAATTATCACTAAACTGCATTAGCGAAGTCCAGAGCATCCAAACTTGCATTTTGAGAAGGCGGTCCTTCTAGAAATGATACAGAGTTTCACACCTTTGGGAGCATAATGGACGCAAGTCAGAAGGCATGCGATGCATTACGAAAAGTTTCGACGCTACATGCAACTTATCATGTCCAAGCAACCATAAGATGTGCTTGAGCTGAGGATGAACTTGAAGCTACCAAAGCCATTTCCGATTATGTTGAGAAGGCAAGTCCAAAACTAGTAGCATAGATTTTATTGTAATCAGAATGTAATTAGAAAAGATTTTGCGAATTGAAAGATTGGCATGATTTAATTCAATTGCAGAAATTAGCAGAAATAGATATTATAATTCTATATAAATTGTATTGTCCCAATTCAATGTATATGAAACAAATATCCCTTTTTCTTATCATCTTTTCATGGTATCAGAGCAACGGCAATTGACCCAATTTCTTATGGGTCCTAACGAGTCCTACAGTGCAATTCGAGGCCAACTCCTTTTGACGAAACCTCTGCCAAATGTCGGACAAGCATACTCTTCTGTTACACAGGAAGAAAAATAGTTGTGTAATTTGGGTATTGCAAGAGAGATAACCCAGAATTCTGCCATGCATGTTCAACAACCCGAATCTACAGTTTTTGCTGCTCAAAGCAAACAAGGTTCTTCTTTGCTCTAATTCTCTAATTGTAAACCTTTAAATTGTGATTATTGTGACAAGGATCATCACCCTATAAAAATATCTTAGAAATTACATGGATTTCCTCCTAGATATCCGAAGCATCTATCCAACCCAAAGTATGGCAGTGATGCTCTTGGAAAAATCAAAGGAAAATTTCCATCTTCGATTCACAATGTTAAAGATGGTTCAAATAGTCCTGATATTCGAAGTGTAATGAATGGGTTGTCTAAATTGTAATTACAGCAAATTCTATCTATTGTGCACAACAAATCAGCACCATTTATTGGAAAACACTTTTCCACTCCTAATCCGAAGGTGAGCATCATTGAACCATCTTCAGGTTTGTCTAGAAAACCACTTATTGTTGATAGTGGTGCCTCAGATCATTTCACTTCGTCTCCAACTTCACTAGTAGACTGTAAAAATACTTTTATTTTGCCACCAGCTCTTTTGCCGATTAGAGACAAGACTCCAATTTTTTTTAACCGGAACTTTACCCTTAATTAAATTCAGCTTTTTCTTTAAAAAATGTGCTTGGTGTCCCTACTTATAAAGTGGATCTCACCTCTGTGAGTTGACTCACATGAGATCTCAATTGTTTCAAACCTTTTTTCTATATTGGTGTATCTTGCCAGGCATGATGACAAAGAGGATGATTGGTTTGGGTAAACATCATCAAAACCTTTATTACTTGGTTGCAATGGCTTCTCTAAGATCTACAGCAACAACAACACTCAATATTCAATGCTCATACTCAGTCTCTGCCTTGCCATTTCTTTTCACTAATTTGTGGCAATGTTGGTCGAGTCATCTCTCCTTTTCCAAATTGGATTTTATGTCCAAAAGTTTGCTCAAATTTTCTTTTGAGAAGAATAATAGATGTGATGTTTGTGCTCTTGTGAGACAAACCCGTCTTCCTTTCCCTACCGGTTCCATTTCTACCATCAAATCTTTTGAATTAATTTATTGTGACATTTGGGGAACATATAAAGTTAATCCCCTTTCTAATGCCAAAATATTTTTAAGTATTGTGGATAACTACTCTCGATACTCATGGGTTATTGACTATATACATAGACATATACTTAGACAACTCGTGCACTTTGCTTTCAATCTCATCTGCTTTTATCTTTTTGGGCTGAGTGTATTTTCATTTCAGTTCACATAATTAATCGACTGCCTACTCCTGTGCTTTCCTGCAAAATTCCATTTGATCAATTATATGGGAAACTTTCGGCATCTTCGTATTTTTGGATGCCTCACCTACGCTGCCACTGTAAATATTTCTCACAAGTTTGCTTCTCGTGCTAGATGTTGTGTATTCATTGGCTATCGAGTTTTCACTAGTCAAGATGTTATATTCCATGAAGGTGTTTTCCCATATGAGTCTATTGCTCATTCTTCAAATTCAACACCTGTTATTCCAGTCGCTATTGATGAATCTCCTTTTTTGGAGAATCAATCAACTACATTGCATCCAATCACCCCGATTCCTTCTTCTTCTTATGCCTCCTCTAAGACGCACTCAACGAACTCAAGTTCTATCTTCATTCTTGTAAGATTATATTTGCAACCAAGTATAGGCTTTTCCAACAACATCTTCTATGCCATCTTGTTTTCTGTGAGGACTCGAAAATTTGTCTTATTTTTAATCGTTTAATTTTATTTTCTTTCATGTATTTTCGTACTATACTTTATTATATTGAATTTTCATAGATTTTTATAAGCAAGTCTATATTTTAAATTATTTTTCCAGTATAAGATAGTTCATGATACGTTTGGTGTGTAGTAAGGACGTGGGACCCGCTAGTGCGGTAAGTGCGATAAATTTTCGATAAATAAGTGAAACGTACACAAGGGGATATTACTGTACAGGGTGCTAGGAGATAATTGGAAGTTAGTTAGATAGATTACCATTGAGAGACAAGAGGATAAGTTTGAAAACAAAAGGTGCCAAGTGTCGCGATTTGGTTGGTGTTGGATTTTGACTATTTTTCCTCCACCTTTACTAAACCCAAAATTTGACCAAGATCATCTTCATTTCCTCCTAGAGCTGGCCAAAATTTGGAGAGCAAAAGAGAGAGAAAATCTTCATCTTTCACTTCAATTTCTTGCCCAAATCTTGAGTTTCAACCGATTAATTTGCAAACTACTCCATAAAACTTACTTCCCAAGTAGTTTCGAAGGTGTTTGTGGAGTTATTTTTGGAGGACAAAGCCTAAGCTACCATCTTTCTTAGGGAAATAAGGTAAATTGTCAAGAAACTCCTTCTTTACTTCAATTAATGGGCAATTTGTGGTTATAGTTGTTGAATTAGTAATTTTGTGAAAGAATTATATGGGTTGAAGTAGGTTTATGAAAATTTCAGTTTCTTGGTGAATTTTCTGCCCTAATATGAAGATTAATGATTAGTTATGGTTTGATAGCTTTGATATGTGAAATAGCTAGTGTTTAGATGTTAGTTTACTTGGCCTAAAGAAATTTCTGGTTTGTAAGCATAAATTCCAGCTTGGATGATAACCTGCCCTGCTTCTGCCCGGTTCTATTTCACCATGTTAGAGGCCGAACTAGCCTTAGTACAAAACATAAAAGTTGTAGAGAATGATGTTTTATAGTTGTCTGAAAAATTTCAGCTCAATCGGAGCAACATATCTTGTGAAATGACGGAAATACCCTTGACTGCCCATAACCCTTATTTTCACGGACAGTTTTCTATCTTCGTGGGAATTTCAATTTTTGACTCTGAAAATGCATGATTTAGCTTTGGAGGTCTTCATAAGAAATGTAGGTATATGTCTTGGCTTTGAAACGCCATAAGATACACCTCAATCGGACTTCGGCAGCCTGAGTTATTGTCGTTGAATCATAGTGCAGTTAACAAGCCCGAATGTGAGATGCTGGTTCTGTAATTTGGAATTTTGACTTAGATACACTACAAACTGGACTGAGTTGTCTTCATAAAAGTTGTAACCCTCTGTCTTAGTTTCGAAACGGTATAAATTGCACCCCAATCTGATAAGCGTAGTTTCGATTGTGTCCGTTACGTAAAACAACGTCAAATCTGTCTTTTGTTTTCCAA